TGTTCTGATCACCTTCCCGTGCATGAGCAGGCGCAGCGTGAGCGTGACGCCCATGGCGCCGTCCCCAAAGTCCTGCTCGCCGCTCATGGTCCAGACGGAGGAGGAGGAGGAGGAGGAGGAGGAGAAGGAAGAGGAGGAGAAGGAGTGGGTGCCCTCTGCCGCTGGGAGACGCATGAAGGTCCAAAGCCCCGAGCTTCCCTGAACGCCACAGAGAGCCCTGGAGCTGTGGGGGGGGCGGAGGGTCTGCTGGGCCCGGACAGGAGGAGGGTCTGTGGGGAGAGAGAGGGATAGTTAACAGGAGCTAGCAGCTAATAGCAGCTAACAGATAACAGTAGCTAACAGCTAAAACCTAGATAACACCAGCTAACAGCTAATAACACATGTTAACTAACAGCTAATAGCAGCTAATAGCAACTAATAGCAGATAACAGCTAATAGTAGCTAAAAACAGATAAAACCAGCTAACAGCTAATGACATATATTAACTAACAGCTAATAGCAGCTAATAGCAGATAACACCAGATAACAGCTAATAACATATATTAACTAACAGCTAATAGCAGCTAACAGCTAATAGCAGATAACAGCTAAAAGCAGATAACACCAGCTAACAGCTAATAACATGTATTAACTAACAGCTAATAGCAGATATTACCAGGTAACAGCTAATAGAAGAAAATACCAGCTAACAGCTAATGGCAGATATTACCAGCCAACAGCTAACAGAAGAAAATACCAGCTAACAGCTAATGGCAGATATTACCAGCCAACAGCTAATAGAAGAAAATACCAGCTAACAGCTAATAGCAGATATTACCAGCTAACAGCTAATAGAATAAAATACCAGCTAACATCTAACAGCAGATAACACCAACTAACAGCTAATAGCAGATAACACCAGCTAATAGAAGAAAATACAATTTAATAGCAGATAATACCAGCTAACAGCAAATAAAATAAAATACCAGCTAACAGATAATATCAGATAAGACCAGCTAACAGCTAATAGCATATAAAACCAACTAACAGCTAATAGAAGAAAATACCAGATAACAGCTCATAGCAGATAACACCAGCTAACAGCTAATAGCAGGTATTACCAGCTAACAGCTAATAAAATAAAATACCAGCTAATAGCCAATAGCAGGTATTACCAGCTAACAGCTAATAAAATAAAATACCAGCT